ATGGCCTAGCGGCTAAAGTCCTCGGCATGAACACACCAGGATCCCATATGGGCACCGGTTCTAATCCCAGCAGATCCACTTCCCATCCAGCTCCCTGCTTGTGGCCTGGGAAAGCAGCTGAGGACGGCCCAGAGCATAGGGATCCTGCACCTGTGTGGGAGACGCAGAAGAAGTTCCTGAATCCTGGCTTCGGATCCATCAGCGCAGCATCAGCCGTTGTGGCCCCTTGGGGAGTGAATCATTGGACGGAAGATCTTCCTCTCTGTCTTTCTTCCTCTCTGTATATCTGACTTTGTAATAAAGAAAATAAAAAATCTTAAAAAAAAATTTTAAGTATTAACACACAAGCAAATCAAGTATATAAGAGGTTATCTTAGTCTGATGTTAGACTTGTGAAAAATACAAAACTATTTGGAATAAAGTATGTCATTTATATCAACCTGTAATTTCTTTACATAATTCTTTAGTTTCTCATTGTAATTTATAACAAATAGTGATAGATATAACCTTACCTAAACATAAGCTTTTTGGCATCCTTAATATTTTTGTTTAAAGAATTTATTCATTTGAAAGGCACATTTAGAGAGATGGGTAGTCAGAGATAGACTCTTCCACCTCTGGGTTCATTCCCCAGCTGGCTGTAATGGCCAGGATCAAGTCAGGCCGAAGCCGAGAGCCAGGAGCGTCATCCTAGCTGCCACAAGGCCGAAAGGGGGCCAGAACTCTTGGATAATCCTCTGCTGCTTTCCCAGGATGTTAGGGAGCTGGATCAGAAATGAAGCAGGCTGCACCCAGACCAGTGTGCGTGTGGGAAGCCAGTGGTGCAGGCTGTGGCTTTACTTGTTATACTACAACACTGCAATAATGATTTTTAAAGACTCAATTTTTTTCTTGGAACAGCAAATCTACAGATAGGAGAGATAGAGAGATGTTCTGTCTGCTGGCTCACTCCCCAAATGGCTGCAACAGCCTGAGCTTAGTGGATCCGAATCCAGGAGCTTCTTCCAGTCTCCCACGTGAGTATATGGTCTCAAGCCTTTGGGCTGTCCTGGACTGCTTTCCCAGGCTGGAAACTGGATTGGAAGTGGAGTAGCCAGGATAAGAACCAGCACCCATATGGGATCCCGGCATGTGCAAGGCGAGGACTTTTGCTACTTGGCTATCGCACCAGGCCCCACTGATAGGATTTTAAATGCGATGACTTGGCTGAATTTCCCATCTTAGTTCAGAGCTTGTTCTTGGGAATCTCTCTGGGAAGCTGCAGCTTGTTCGGGAAAGTTTTTTTCAAGGATTTGAATTAATTTGTCAAGAATTAAAAAGGAGGAGAACTAGATTGAAGAAAGCTTTCTCAAAGCAGAATCAACAGGACTTTATACCCGGGGTGCGCGTGTCAAAGGAACCTAGGAAATTTTCCAAGTTTCCCACATGGGAGACTGGGTAACCAGCCTCACTGTGAGTTGAAATAGAGGCTCGCAGATGCTGTTTAAAATGGGATTACATCCTGATAAACCCATTACAGATGCAGGATATCACCATAAAGCTCTCAACAACTCTTTCAAATAAATAAATCTTTTTTTAAAAAAAATTATATTTCTCTTAGTTGCTGTTATCGAAGTGCATTTGGGCCCAGTGTTGTGGTGCCTGCACAGCCAGGATCCCACATGGGTTCTGATTCAGCTCCCTGCTAATACATCAGGGAAAGCAGTAGAAGGTGGCCCAGGCCATGGGCCTCTGTACTCATAGGGAGACAGGGAGGAAGCTCCTGACTCCTGGTTTCTGCCTGGCCCCACTCTAACTATTGTAGCCATTTAGGGAGTGAGCTGGAAGATGGAAAATTCTTTCCCTCCCTGGATCTCCCTCTCTCTGTAACTCTGCTTTGCAGAAAAATATTTTTTAAAAGTATATTTAAATATTATATCTTGTAACAACTAACCTTAGTGAGCTTCCTTGTATGTTTTAGCAATTTTAATTTAAAAAATTATTCATTTTTATTGGAGAGACAGGTTTATTTACTTACTTTTTAAAGATTTATTTATTTTTATTACAAAGTCACATAAACAGAGAAGAGGAGAGATAGAAAGATCTTCCGTCTGATGATTCACTCCCCAAGGGAGCGCAACAGCCGATGCTATGCCGATCTGAACCAAGGATCCAGGAACCTCTTCCACATGGGTGCAGGGTCCCAAGGCTTTGGGCTGCCCTTAACTACTTTCCCAGGCAAAAAGCAGGAAGCTGGATGGGAAGTGGAGCTGCCGGGATCAGAACCAGCACCCATATGGGATCCTGGCGCGTTCAAGGTGAGGACTCTAGCCGCTAGGCCATGGTGCTGGGCCCAGAGAGACAGATTTATAGAGAGAGAAGATGAGACAGAAACAGAGGTCTTCTGTCTGCTGCTTCTCTTGCCAAATGGCCACAACAGTCAGAAGTGAGCCAATCCAGAACCAGGAGCCCGGAGCTTCTTCCACGTCTTGCATGCAGTTACAGGGTTCCAAGGCTTTATGCCATTCTCCACTGCTTTCCCATTCTATGTGCAGGGAGCTGGATCAGAAGTGGAGCAGATGGACCTGATGTGATGGCCTAGCGGCTAAAGTCTGTGCCTTGCCTGGGCTGGGATCCCATATGGGTGCCAGTTCTAATCCTGGCTACCCTACTTCCCATCCAACTTCATGCTTGTAGCCTGGGAAAGCAGTAGAGGATGGCCCAAAGCCTAGGGACCCTGTACCTGCGTGGGAGACTGGAGTAGGCTCCTGGCTCCTGGCTTTGGATCAGCTCCACTCTGGCCATTGCGGCCATTTGGGGAGTGAATCAGTAGACAGAAGATGTTCCTCTCTGTCTCTCCTCCTCTTTGTATATCTGGCTTTGCAATACAAATAAATAAATCTTTAATGAAATAAAAAAAAGAAGTGGAGCAGATGGGACACGAATCAGCACCCCTATGAGATGTCAGCACTGCAGACAGAAGATGAGCTTGCTATGCCAACTGTGCCAGCCCCAGCTCATTTTCAAAGGGTGGCATAATTAAAAGAAGAAGCAGGGATAACAGCAAAGACTGCTAATTAGAAGAGGAAAAGTAACATGAAGTATTAGGTATATCCAGCCTGAGGCCTCATCAGGACTAGAATACAAGGCTATCAGATATGTATTAGGTCTAACATGGGAAAGCAGCTTTTCCCCCTCCCCCAGCATATTTTGAAAGCAGTGATGTCAATGAGTTCCCGAAACAAAAGCACATTTGAGGAGGAAATGTGCTCATAGTTCTGGAACGTTTCAAAGGACTCCGTGCATGCCTGGGAGAGAGACTGCATGGTCAACATGTTTGTTTTCTTTTAAGATTTGGGACTGCGGCCAGTATATTTAACGCTAAAGTCTTACGGCCATTCTGGGTACAGAGTGTGGACAAACACAGAGTTTTCTGGACAACAGTAAGGACCAGGTGTCCTTGAAAGCCCCGAGGACACCCTCCCAGCGGCCGGTCACAGCAGCAGGGTCCCAGTCTCCAGAGGCGGCCAGGAACTTACATCCTGTGCAATGCGGCTACGCCCCTACAGACCATGACTCGCTCTGTCACCCGCAGGCTCCATCACTTCTGCTCTAACCCATTCGGAAAGCTGCAACAAATGCAAGCTCAGCTTGTATCACAGAACTCCAGTGATTCCCCAGTGCTTAGAAAAGTTCCGTGCTTTGTCAGGGACTCTGCAAGCCTTCATCCTTCTGCCCCATCCTACTTCCCTGGCCTTGCATATCCCATGTCAGTTAATACTCAGATCCATCCTTTGAATAGTGCATTATCTGCCTTGGTCCACCCTAAGCTTACCATTCCCCACCCTCGCCCCCAGGCCAATGCGCCTTATTCTTTTAAAATTTTATTTGGGGGTCCGGCATCGTAACCTAGCAGCTAAAGTCCTCACCTTGAACACACCGGGATCCCATATGGGCTCCAGTTCTAACCCAGCTTGTGGGCTGGGAAAGCAGTTGAAGACAGCCCAACGCCTCAGGACCCTGCACCTGTGTGGGAGACCTGGAAGAAGCTCCGGGCTCCTGGCTTCGGATTGCTACCAGCAATCCAGCTTCAGCCATGCAGGCTACTTGGGAAGTGAACCATCGGATGGAAGATCTTCCTCTGTGTCTTTCCTCCTCTCTGTATACCTGCCTTTCCAGTAAAAATAAAGAAATGTTAAAAAAAAAAAAAAAGATTTTATTTGGGAGACAAGAGTGACAGAGCTCTTCCATCCTGTGAACAGCTGCAACAGCCAGCTGTAGACCAGGCTGAACCCAGGAGCTAGAAACTCCCGCCGACTTTCCCCACACAGGTGGCAGGGGTCCCAAGGACTTGTGCCATCTTGGACCACCTACCTAGGTGCAGCATTAACAAGGAGCCGGATGGAAAGTGGCACAGCCGGGACTCAAAACCAGTACACCCGGCAAGGACTGCCACAATGTACAAAACAGTGTGGAGCGCTCAAAGAAGGGGTGCCACTGGGGGCTGGAGAGAGATGGGAATGCAAGAAGGGAAGCTAGAACCAAGTGTGTTTTCCAGCGCATTGCTGAATCAATCTGTCTATATAGTATACAGACTCAGTATAAATGTGAAATACATATACTATCTATATATATAACAATAATAACATAATATAACATAATATAATATAATCTAATATACTATTTCACTTCTTTAAGTCAGACCATGGAGTGTCCCCATTTCCAAAAAGGCTGCACCGGGGTGGGGGTGGCGATTCTGACTGGTTTTGTGACACACAGCCCAGCCTGGGCCTGAGGGCGGCCGCGCGATGCACGGCGTGCGGGGTCCGCCCCGAGCCCCGCGGCCCGGGGACCCCAAAACGGCCGTTACGTGACCGGCGTCCGGTGACTCGCCGGCCGGAAGGCGCCGCCCCCCTCCGGGAGCCGTGCGCAGCTCCGGAAGCTCCCGCCCCTTTTCTCCTTTTACGGGACCAGGAAGGCTTTTTTTTTCTCGTTTTTCTTTCTCGAGTTTGCGAACGGCACCGCCTAAGAAATCGAGATCTTAAAGCCGGCGAGCCCGCGGCCGCCCGCAGTCTCATCGCCCGAGGATCCGCACGGGATCCACCGGCCTGCCCGCCCCCCCCAGCAGCCGCCATCTCTGAAAATGTTGAGTCTGAGAAGGAAGGCGGTCCTCGGGCTGAATATGTGCTGCGGGAGCGCCGGGCTGGGAGCCGGCGGCGGCGGCGGCGGCGTCTCCCCCTCGGGCGAGCGGCTCCTGGCCGCCGAGAAGGAGGCCCCGGGCCGGCGGGAGGCAGGGGGAGGGGAGGCCGGCGCGGCCATGGGCGGAAGTCCCGGCGCGAGCCCCGCGGCCGCCCGGAGGGTCTCGCGGCCCGCGCCCATTGGCGCCGAGCGGTCGGACGTCAGCGCGACCCCCACGAGGCTGCTGTGCTGGGCGCACACCCGCCGCGCGACGCCGCTCGACGAGATGGAAGCCGGCGCCGCCATCATGTCGCCCGAGGAGGAACTGGACGGCTACGAGCCCGAGCCTCTGGGCAAGCGGCCGCCCGTCCTGCCCCGGCTGGAGCTGGTGGGGGAGGCCGGTAAGGCCCCTAGCACGGACGGCTCCCTGCCCTCGACGCCGCCTCCCGCGGACGAGGAGGAAGAGGGGGAGGACGAGTTGTACCGGCAGTCGCTGGACATTATCGCTCGCTACCTCCGGGAGCAGGCCACCGGCGCCAAGGACGCCAAGCCCCTGGGCCGGGCGGGCACGACCAGCCGGAAGGCGCTGGAGACCCTGCGGCGGGTGGGGGACGGCGTGCAACGCAACCACGAGACGGCCTTCCAAGGTAAAGGAGCGCGGGGCTCGGGGTCGCTCCTTGGACCCGCCCTGCCCGGGGGTTTGGGTGGAAAACGAAAGCGAGTCGGTGTAGCCGAGCTCCGCGTGTTCGGCCCATGAGTCATGGTTTCCGCCGCCCTCGATCCTTTGGGAAATGGCAGCGCGGCTCCAAGAGCGGAAGGGGTGGGATGGCTGCTCTGCAGTGGGGGTGGGCTCCAGGTCCGCGGGGGGCCCCCGCCGTGGGTGGGCCGGCGAGCAGAGGCCGGGCTGTGCAGACAAAGGCGGCGGGGACCCTGCGAGCCTCTCTCTCCTCCTCAGGCATGTTGCGGAAACTGGACATCAAAAACGAAAACGATGTCAAATCTCTGTCGCGAGTGATGGTTCACGTGTTCAGCGACGGTGTGACCAACTGGGGCCGGATTGTGACTCTCATTTCTTTCGGGGCTTTTGTAGCCAAACACTTAAAGAGCATAAATCAAGAAAGTTGCATCGAACCCTTAGCGGAAAGTATCACCGATGTGTTGGTCAGGACGAAACGGGACTGGCTGGTTAAACAAAGAGGCTGGGTAAGTGGGCCTGGTGGTGGGATGGCCTGGGGGGTGGGGGTCCCGAGTAGGAGGGGAGGGCCGCTGACCGCTTCCTGCGGGCTTCAGTCGTGAGCACCCAGGAGCAGAGTGGGTGGCAGGCTTGAAAGCCCCGTGTTGTAATGCAGTTGGATGAGCCTGTTACCAGTCCCTCGGCCCCGAGGGGAGCTGGGCGTCACCTGGGGGCCCTCTGCGCGGCCCCCTCCCTCACGCGGGTGGACTAGATTCGGGGCGAGCCTGCGTCCTGACACACACCCTGCCTGTCTTGTTGCATGATGTGTTTAATTGCATTGAGAAATGCTGAGCACTTGAGGTCCTAGGCAGTTAGACTGTTAAGAGCAAGGGTTTTGTTTGTATAATTTTTTTTCCTTTGAAATCTTTGCCGTGTTTAGAGTGCCCTGCTAGGAGCATGATGGCTTTAGTGGCCAAGTCGAGCTGTTTACTGCTCCCAGTACTCGCTTGGTGAGCAACTCTGGGAATGTGTGTCTGGAACTTCCCTGAGGAGGATACAAACGGGTCCATCTCAGCTCCAGGGGCACCTCAGATGTGTTTATTAATCTTTGTATGCCGTGCTTGCTTTTTTTTTTTTTTAAGAACGTGGAAACTCAGGCTTGAAAACCTGCTTTTCTTTTTGTGTTTTCTAGGATGGGTTTGTGGAGTTCTTTCACGTAGAGGACCTAGAAGGCGGCATCAGAAATGTGCTGCTGGCCTTTGCAGGTGTGGCTGGAGTGGGAGCGGGTTTGGCATATCTGATAAGATAGCCTTCCAAGTGCAGTAGTTGACCCTTAACCAGCTCCGGCCACCAAAAAGGACACACTTCCGTGAATAAACACATGGGAAAGTTGTGTCCCTGAAGACTCACTCACTGACCGAAGGCACGTTTCGGCAGCCAGCAAACGGGGGAGCCGGGAGGAGAACTTGTAGATGGAGTCAGCGGGGCAGAGTGGAAGGACCTGAGCTTCCCTGTTGAGGACCCGTTAGTGACCGCTTGCCAGTCTCGTCAGGATTCATTAAATCTGCCCAGTGAATATGTTAATTTCCTGTAGTGTTGAAAAGAAAGCACTAACAATGCCTGTGACCTGTGCAGAATGAATTTCGGTTACACGCAGTAGAAGTATAACACGACACCTCAGTACTGTCGCAGTGTGTGAGGGGCTGCCCCCCCCCCCCCCCCCCCCCCGTGTGCTTAAAGAACAGAGTCCCAGTTAAGAATTCCATGCCTGTTCCATTTGGCTTTGTTTGAATGATTCTAAATTTGTTACTCTAGTAATGGCAAGAATACTTGACTGTGAAAGTTTAGAAATTAGTTACAAATATAGGAAATTTTTAAAACTTGTACATGTATTTGTAAAAATGTATATATTTTTATCAAAAATTATCTTTGTAATATAAAGGGGAATATCTAGTTGGCATTAGTTTTTTCTCATACCCTCTTAAAATTTGCTACTTCTAGTTAGCAAACTTTCTTACAGCTTTTCTATTCTAAATTTTGTCCCAATTCTAGAGTGTATTACAGAACCAGTTGTAATTGTATCAAACCTGGTTCAGTGGAACAAATCTGATTCATAACTATGCAGCTTTTTAATTTTTCCTATCTGATTTAGGTATGTATTCCTTAGGTAGGTTTTTCTTTGAAAACCTGGGATTGAGAGTTTGGGAAATGGAAAGAAGTCCTTTCACTTTGTTAAATGTAGCTTTTCAGTAATTGGATCAAAGTGTTTTTTTTTTTAAGGTTTGGGAATGGGGTGAGGCTTAGGGCTTACAAATTATGGGCTCTGATTGGGCAGCTACTCATTTGAGTTCCTTGCATTTGACCTAATTTAACTGGTGAAATTTAAACTGAGTTCATGAGCTCATCTTTAAGGCTAAAATGTTTTCAGCTGTTCCGCACAGAACTTATTAGTGTGTGTATAAAAAGACCACATCAGATGGAGGGAGGAGACACATTTGATCCCTTGTTTGCTTAATAAATTGTAAAATGATGGTTTGGAAAAGCCAGCTAATCTAGCCATGGTGCTATTATCAGGCTTGGTTGTTAAATAGAGACCAAACCTGGTATGTCAATAAAACAAATATTTGTTCCTGTTGGTTCCCAAGCTTTGTTTCAGGTTTGTGCATTTGCATCTTTCTGGATTTCAGACTCAATGTTGTCTCACGTTTACCTTTTCCTGCCCTTCCTTGTAGTATTTACCGTTCATTTCTATTACGAACCCCTAACAGGTAACTAGGTAATATCCCTCCCCCAACCCCAGCAAGCCCAGGAGTCAGCAGCTGGGCATATGTAATGAATTTGCTATCACATTTGGAAGTGTGATGTTGGGGTGCTGTAGCAGCAAAGGCAAGGGGTGGGAGACCGTGGGACAGTGTCTTTTCAGTTACTGCTGTTTATCCTGTCTTGGGGAAATTTCAAAAATCTCCTTGGGAGTTTTCAGAAGGAACATCTTTGTGGCTTTCTCTGGTTTCCTTTGCATTTCAATGTGCTCACTTGAGTTTGTAGCAAGAGGTGGGCTCTGTCCAAACCCAGAGGCAGAAAGGCTGCTGGAGAGTGAAGAAAGCTTCAGCCTTTGACCCTGACCTTTAGTCTGGACTCCAGATAAAAACAGGTGTGAATAGAATGACTAAGAATGTAGTGGGGAAAGGTCCCTGCCTGCTGCCCAGGAGTCACAAGGTCACCTCTAGAGCTGTTTTTACCTGTGTTATTTATCCTTCTTGATCCTAAACCACTTATTTATATCATGTCTCCCTAAACACCTAAAAGCACTTTATGTAGTTTTTAATGAATCTTGAGGAGAAGTGGTTAAGAAGGTAACTTAAGGCCTGTCCCCCACTAACCAATTATGGAAGTAAGTGCAGAAGTGTCAGCTGGTGTGGAGGAGCCCCACTTGTTGATGGCTCACTAGCTAGGACTGCCAGAGTGCAGAGGAGGCCCTCCTTGGCATTCAGGTCCTCAAGAGCCCCAGTGGGGAAGGGAGGTCTGGTGTCTGACCTGGGGTCTCCGGTGCAAATCCCCCCACAGGGGAAAGGAGGGGACTGCTTGGAAGGATGTCTCTCCATGAAATCTATTTGTCTTTATGCTTCTCTCAGGGAAAACCACACAGTCCTATAGGGTGGTCCCCTCTGGCGTTGTGCATGTGCGTTGTATGGGGTGTGACCACCTTAGTTCTGGTTACACAGCTGGTGCTTTGGACAGCCAGGAAGCATTAGGACCAACTGCAGATTAATGTTGTAAAATAAAATTTCCTGTTCTGATAAATAAATTTTTATTCAAATGTAAGGTGTGGTGTGGGTCCTTTCTAATCAGCACTGTCCTCCCTCCCCCCAGGCAAGCCCTTGCCAGCTGAGAAAATAGGTGCAGGTGGATCAGCAAGCCAGGTCCACAAAGCTGCTCCATCTTAGCACAAGGGCAGTTTTTCGTCCAGGTTAGGGGTGTTGATTTTTAATGTGTTACTACTGTAGTTAAGAATAGTCACTGTACACTTGAATACAGCAGTCAAAGTGCCTGTCTTGATTTTCCTGTGACTAACCAAGTGTTGGGAAAGCTGTCAGGCCAGGCGGCTTGCTATCTTTTAAGTTTCTAGTTTCTTAACCTTTTGAAATGGAGCATGGAAAATTACACCTCAACTTAAGCTGGACTTCTTGGGACAAGGTGCTTACTGATGAGTCCACCTCTGGAACCTGAAACTGCCTTTATTTTCAGTGACCTAAAGGGAAGCTGAATCACCATGGAAATGTGCAAATCTAAGGTTTGCATACTTGTTTTCAGCTCTGAGCACCATTTGCTCATCATGCAAACAGGATTCTATAGCTTCCCTCATTCGGTTTTGTTTAAAAGTCAGAAACCCCTCTTTGTAGCCAAACAGAAACTAGCAAGTTTGTGGCTTTTTTTGGTTTTAACCATTACCAAATGATCTGCTTTATTATAAAAGTGCTCTCGGCGTTGGGGGGAGAGAATGGCAAACACAAAGAATGCCAGAGCTGCTTCAGTGGCAGTGCTCTGCACAGTAAGCCTCGGGTCAAACAGTAACCAGGAGAGTCCCAGTAATCAACACCTTTTTTAAAAAACTCTTCAGTTCCTGTTTTGTGACTTTAGAGTCAGATCTTGCTTCACACTGTTTTCTTTAAGAGTTGACATGAGTTGTCTAGAAATTAAAGTTGGTGTGTAGTGTGTATCCGGCCAGATGGATAAAACATAGACGGTAAACTTGTACAGTTGAAGGTAATCCACAAATTAGCCTGGCTTGCTGCTTCATTCATATATGCAGTGATTACAGAACTTTTTCACCCTGCCATGCTCCAGCTGCTTCCGAGTGAGAAGGCTGGAAAGCCTCCCCCTTCTCCTTAGAGTTGCTACAGTGTTGTCTCAGTTTTGTGAAACATCCAGACAGGAACATGTGAATAAAGGGTCAAATGCTACAGGAAAGTGGGTAAGACCATTGTTCCCACATTTCTCTTTCTGGGGGAAGGGGAGATAAAAGGAGAAGCTCCACCCTGCCTGTTTTTTTTTTTTTTTTAATTTATTTTTATTGGAAAGGCGGATATACAGAGAGGAAGATCTTCCGTCCGATGATTCACTCCCCAAGTGAGTGCAACGGTCGACGCTATGCCAATCCAAAGCCAGGAGCCTCTTCCGGGTCTCCCACGCAGGTGCAGGGTCCCAAAGCTTTGGGCCGTCCTCGACTGCTTTCCCAGGCCACAGGCAGGGAGCTGGATGGGAAGAGGGGCCGCCGGGATTACAACCGGCGCCCATATGGGATCCCTGGCATGCAAGGCAAGGATCTTAACCACTTGCGCCACCACGCTGGGCCTACCCTGCCTGTTTCTAATAGGCAGTTCCTTTCTTCATGGAATAGTAGTTTGTGGTCATTAGGAAGTAGCATTGACCCTTTGTAAGAGCCTTTGGTCTTGATGCACTGTGGTTCAGCTAAAATGACCTGAGCCTGTGCTCGTGAAGGCAGTGGCCGGCAGGAGAGGCTGTACTTGGCGTTTCCTCTTTCTGGGCTAGCAGTAAGGTGTACACTCTGTCCCTGCTCAGGCACACTTGGCACAGGAGCACAGTGCTAAGCAATGATGTTCAGTAGGTGGGGTGCATTTAAGTGTGCTTTTGCGAGATGTTTGTAATGTGTTTATTGGGATTTTTAAAGATTTACTTAATTTTTATTGGAAAGGCAGATTCAGAGAGGGAAAAATCTTCCTTCTGGTTCACATCTCAACTGGCTGCAACGGCCAGAGCTGGGTCTCCTGTGCAGGTACAGGGTCCCAACACTGGGCCATCCTTGGCTGCTTTCCCAGGCCACAAGCAGGAAGCTGGATGGGAGGTGGGACAGCCAGGACATGCCCATGTGCGTGTGTAGTATTTGCGGTGGGGGATTGATTGAGAGAGGTTTGCTCTCCATATACCTGCAGGAGCCAGGGCTGGGCCAGTGGAAGCCAGGAGCACCCTCTGGGAGCCAGCCACACAGGTGATTGAGACCCAAGTACTTAAACCTGCACTTGCTGAGGTTACATTGTTGGGTATGGTAATGTCCTTGTTCTTAGATACATGCTGAAGAATTTATGGATCCTGAATACAAAAAAAAGTGGCCACCTATACTTCATGGCTTAGAGTAATAGGAATGAACAAAAACACAATGCACAAAGCCATAAGAAGGAGTGGGACAAAGCAGGGTGACAGCTGGAAGTAGATGGTATTAAGAAGGCTTCAGAGGGCCCAGCACGGTAGCCATGTGGCTAATCCTCACTTTGCATGCATCAGCATCCGGTATGAGTGCAGCTTCATATCCTGGCTGCTCCACGTTCTCATCAAGTTCCCTTTTTGTGGCCTGGGAAAGCTGTAAAAGTCGGCCCAAAGCCTTGGGACCCTGCAGCCATGTGGGAGACCCAGAAGAAACTCCTGGCTCCTGGCGTCAGATCTGCTCAGCTCCAGCTGTTGTGGCTCCTTGGGGAGTGAACCAGTGGATAGATCTATCTACTATGTCAATTGCCTTTCAAATTAAAAGAAAAAACTACAGAAGTAAATTGGTGGTTGAGCTTTAAAGAGGACTGGAGCTTATTTTTTTTAAGATTTACTTTATTTTTATTGGAAAATCAAGTACACAGGAGGAGAGCCAGTGGGGAAGATCTTCCATGAATTATTTACTCCCCAAATGGCCACAACAGCCAGAGCTGAGCCAATCTGAAGCCAGGAGCCTGGAGACTCTTCCAGGTCTCCCATGCGGGTGCGCAGTCCCAAGGCTTTGGGCCATTCTTGACTGCTTTCCCAGGTCACAGGCAGGGAGCTGGATGGGAAGCAGGGCCACTGGGATTAGAACCAGCGCCTGAATAGGATCTTGGTGTGTGCAAGGTGAGGACTTTAGCTGCTAGGCCGCCACGCTGGGCTCTCTGACTTTCAAATAAATTAGGAATCAAAACAAAGTAGACAAGTTCCTAGATCCTGTGCTTCCCACATGATGGGGATTTGAGTTTTGGCCTCACTTCAGTCTGGCTTGGCACTGTTTAATAGGTAGGCATTTGGAATTAACCAAAGAACGGAACCTCTCACAGCCTCCCTTTCCCCATCAAATGGAAATAAAGATTTTGTTTTGTTTTGTAGGAAATGTGGATGGTGATTGTGAGCGTCTCTCACTTAGCCTTCCCTCCCTCCCCCTTGTCACACGTGGTCTGTGCGTGAGTGGATCTTCTCTCCCATTTAGGGCCTTATATAACAATGTCAGAAAACTGCTAGGATACAAAGATAACCTCTGTCATAGGATTGTGAATATGGTGGTTAATGAAATAGAACCCAATGGATTGTGTTTATTTTAGGAAACGAAAAAGTTTCCATTCTTTCCTCTAATATGCTGAAGTGGTGACCCTAAACATACATTCTTAGAATTGTAAATAACCATCCTAGGCTCCAGATTGGAGAGGCAGGTGCCGGTAGGCATGCTTTGAATAAAGTGCCCCGATTATGTAAGTGTTTTTAGAGCTCCGGTTTGCACTGGGTTCCCTCAGATGTCTGCATCTCACGAACAAAGCTCAATTCTCTTAACATGGTGGTAAGATCCCAGGCCCTTGCACCATGGCCGCGCCTGGCAGAGTCTGCATTAGCACCATGCTGGAGCTCACCAGGAGTCTAACCCAGGCTCGCAGATGAGGGGACCAAACAGCACCTTGAAGTAGCCCTTGGATCACTCAGCCACACACACATTTTACCAGTGGTCGGCTCTCTCACCCTCTAGGCTGCTTAGCCAAGGAGAGGAGCATGCGTTAACTACTAAGCAGAATTTTATTAAGCAACAGTTCTTGAAAGTTCTATAACTGGACCCCAAAATGCTGAATGGCAGCTTCCCCCTCCCCCATCCTGTTCTCGTGGGAGACTGAATTACTGCTATTCCCATCCTGATTTAAAAAAAAAAAAAAAAACCGCGTTTGCTCTGGCGGCCCGACTTCCCCACAGGCTGCATTCTCGCCCGTGAGCTCATTGTTTTGGCTTCTTCGCCTGCATAAATCCGCAGGCCGCGCCAGAGGTCTTGGACCAGAGGCCCCCGGACTGGCTGGGGCTGCATTCCATTGAGAATCTCACCCCCACTTGATGTTCTTCCCACCCCGTGTGGTCACGTGGATGTTTATTCAAGTTAGCCTGGGACAAGGTGTGCTGGGAAAGACGGCCAAGGAGACAAGGAAAAGAACGCTCAACTGTTGTTTCACCTTGGATTTGACCGACTTTCAGATGTATGTTCTAAAACTTAGCTTTCTTGCCTAAAAGGAGCTGGTTCTAAAAAATGCTGCCATTTCTCTCACAGTGGCCCATACTTAGCTGGTTGACTGCGGTTTCCGAATTGGTGGCTTTGCAGCGCTGAGTGCCCTGGGTGCCGGCCTTACCCTTCCGCTGCCCACATCTCCATCTGTTGGGTTGCCTGGAGCGACTCCCACCAACTGGATCCTTGGTGGAAATGGGGGCAGAGACAGCTGGGCTCTGGCGAGGGAGCAGCTGTCACTGCTGTCTTGTTTATTTCCTTTTGACCCTGGAAGCCCCGTCTAAGGAAAGGTGGGGCCGGCCTCAGGTGCGGCTGGGGAAGGGGGTGGGGTGTGTGTGAAGTTTGGATTACCACCATATGCTCAAATGCTGTGCTTTCCCCCCCACCTCCTCCTCAGCATTAAAAAAAAAAAAGAAAAGAAAAAACCAAAAACAAAACTACAAATAAGGCTGTGGGAAGTGGCTTATTTTTCATTTCTCAGAAATCCCTCATGAAGCAGAGAAACAGAAAGAAGGAAACGTGTCGAAATCGAAGTGAGGTTGGCTGCCGTGTGAGGGTGGGGTGCTGTGTGTGTGACCTGCTTTCAGCTGCAGCCTGCAGAGGAGCCTGGAGGGGGTGGGGAGCGCACGGCAACCTGGCAGTTGGAATGGGCTCTAAAACCGGTTGAGCCCGTGAAGCATCTGTCGATAGTATTCATTGGGACTGGGAGGGTATGCTATAAAGATTTGGTAAGAATTCCCAACACCAGTTTGTGGAAACACATTCTTTTTGATTTCAAGTGCATGCTAACATAGCACACAACTTTGTGTCTGTCCTGAGGGGCTGGAGAAAGAAAATGCTCTGAATCCACAGTGCGAATTGCTTAGGGTTCTATAGGGAATCCCGTAGGACAGTGTGTCTTAGGTCAGATATACTGTCATTATTTGCACGGAACCAGTGATTGCATTTGAAAGGATGAATTTCTTGACGATAAACTGAAGTGTCAGGTTGAAAACTAAAGTTTAGAAAAGATCTTCCTGAAATGCTGAAAAGTCATGAAAAAATAATTGAAAACAACAATTAAAACCATCCCAGGGTTGGGTCGCTGTAGCCGAAATTACTGAGCATTTTGATAGCAAGGTACCCTGCAGGGGTGAACCAAACATTCAGGTAGAACTTTTAACAAGCTCTTCTCCTCTTCCCCATAAATAGGATTTAACAACACTAAAAAATATTTTAGTTTAAAAGATATTTTCATTATCACTTTTACCTTAAAGCCCTGTACAAATGTAAGGAAGTGCAATAAGAGTAACCCTAAGGGGGCAGCCATTTGGGCCTAGAGGGTTGGGCACTGCTTTGTGGTCCAGCTCCCCCAATGGTGTGCACGCTGAGGAAGCAGAGGAAGACTGCTCGGCCCCCTGCCACCAGGCCCAGGCTCCTGACCCAGTGCTGCCCCTGGCAGGCATTTGGGGTGTGTGTGGGGGCGGTGAGCCGGATGAAGAGTCCTCCCTGTCTACCCTAGAGAAAAAGTTTGTTCAGCTAGAGCTAGGGAGGAATCATCCTTTCCTGACGAAAAGAGGCAATCCACAGGTGGTGGGCCGGCGACAGGGGAGCAGAGGTGGGGGAGAGGCTGCCTTGCTCCCTTCCTGCTCCCAGGACAGGCTGAGTACAGGCAATCCCTGGAAAAGCACCAGCTGCCTTCTCTGCATTCCTCCTCTTCTGCCCTCCTTGGTCTTTCTCATCATTCACAAGTCTGCGGCTCTGGCTCTTAGATCCGGGTGAGCCAGAGGAGAGGCCAGCACAGCCCCGGCCCAGCGCAGTTCGCCGGCATCTTGTTCCAAATCATCTTTGGATGGATGTGGCCCAAGGTTCCCTAGACAGGTCTGCCTGCCATGTTTCCTGCCTACCTCCTGGGGACTAGACTGGTATGTTCTTCCCCTCAAATCCTTGCCAGGTTCAGGCCTTGGCCCCAAAATACCCAGTCTCCTAGGAGGCCAAAGAATCCAAATCAGACTGAGGGTTTGTGCTAACTGGGTTTGAGATTAACCCAGCCTGTTTATCTCTGGTTGACAGTTAGGTACTTTCCTGAGCTGTACTTCCTGTAGAAGGTGCCTCCTGGCCTTTAAAGCTGATACCTCTGCCTAGCAGTGTGCCACTTCCACTGGAACTGGTCTACCCAGCTGCTTGCTAGCACCTGAGGTGGGGGGGGGGGGGTGCGTGGCAGGAAGGAGGGTGGGAGCACCTTCCTCACATACCCCGCCCCCTAGCCACAACTGTCCATGAAAGTTGAGAGGCTTCCCTGGGTCAACATGCTCGGAGGGTGGAAGAAAAAGCTCTGAGTCTCTGGTTTGTAAGAGAGAAGCAGACAGCGAGGCACAAAAGAGGATGTGGACGGTCTCCCACGTGGGTGCAGGGTCCCAAGGCTTTGGGCCGTCCTCGACTGCTTTCCCAGGCCACAGGCAGGGAGCTGGAAGGGAAGTGGAGCAGCTGGGAAACGAACTGGTGCTCATGTGGGATGCTGACTCTTGCAGGTGGAGGACTAGTCAGCTGAGCCATAGCCCTTAGCCCTGCTGCATACCCGTTTACCTGGACCTGCAGCCAGTTTTCCCAGCCCTGAGACCCATGTACTGGGGTCAGGATTGGGGTCCCTAGTCCCTACTTCACCCCTATTGCCAGAAATCTTGAATGAGTAGAGATGACAGGAATGTCCAAACTCGCCACCAGGCCCACCCTGCAGCTGCGCACACCTGCTGAGGGGAGGCCTAGGGGTTGGGGAAGTCTAGCAGCTAAATTTAGTGCACAGGCTGCAGCTTACTCTGGTGGGTATTTACCCTGGGGAAGCTGGGGGGGAGGGGGAGAGGGAGGGCCCAGGATTCCTGACCCAGCTGACTTGCAAGCCCTCCAGGGTCACCCCTGAGTGCTCTGCTGCCGAAGCCCCGCCCTCTCCCTCCCCCAGCAGGTGCAGGTGCTTAAGAACCAGCAGCACGGTGCTTTCCCTGGTCCGGTGTCCACTGAGATGGTTCCCATCCCCACCCACCCGGTCTCAATGCTCAGGGGTCCACTTCCTCCCTGTCCTTCCGTAAATTCTCCCCAGTGCACCAAACCCAGGGGCCCCCTGCCACCACATGGCCTTGCCCTGGGCTTGCAGCTTCCTCTCCCCCAAGGTCCTCTGGGGGTTTCACAGGTCAACAGAGGGGCAGGGCTGGGCCAGGGGCTTGCCCCGCGTCACCATCTGCCTCCTGAGATTTCCCACACGAACTCCCCAGAAGATCGGAACTCTGGAGGGACTGCCCTGGAGCCTACCCCTTAAGGAAAAGACCAGGAGACAACCACCCCCCCAGATGAACCCACCAACCAGGAAACAGGCCCCTGGCTGGCCCAGAGACGGTTTGTGGGCTGTGAGAACCCGGAAGGAGGCCTTCCTAGGGCTGCCCCGGCTGCACCCGACATCTGGGATTGGTTCTTAGGCTCAGGCCAAACCTCAAAGCTGCCCAGCAACAGGCAACAGCCCACCCAAAGAGGCGTGTGGAGGGAGGGAGGGACGGTGATGCAGGGAACCAGCAGAGTTGGTGCCTCCGCCCAGCACTCAGCTTCCAGGAATGGCTGGGAGGGCCCCGGGCGGTGGCCACCACCCACACTGGGTCAGAGGACCTTCAGCCTAGTGTTTCCCCAGGGTGGCCCAGCATCGTCAACCACCTTGAGCCCTGGCCCTCCTGGCACCCAGGCTTCTACTCCCTGCCCAGGACACACAGTTTTCCTTTCCCTTCCACACTGCCTCTGCTCTTCAAAATAGCCTGTTGTGACCTTGCCCAGCCACGTGGGATGGCTGCAGAAGGAAGTGCAAGAGTTAGCTGGTGTGGAGCGTGGTGTCTCTGCAGGCCACTCTGGTGGCTTCCCCAGGTCCAGCTGAGAGGGACAGGGGTGGTGCCCCCCTCCCCCCTGGCCTGGGACGGCTGGCTTCCCATGGGGATGCAGGGCCCAGGCCATAGGGGCCAGGGAAGGAGTCTGTCGTGTCTCACACCACGTCTGCAAGTTGTGCACCTCCAGAGAAGGGACGGGCAAGGCAGCAGGGAGGAGGGTGGGGTGAGCCATGCCTCAGGAATGCGTCCCTGGCAGAACATCCAGTACAGCCGTGTCCCTGCCCACACCACCCCAATTCCCCTCCAGCCAGGCCTGGTTCCTCTTCCTCCAGCCATTTCCACCAATGGAGAGATGGGAGCCGAGTCACTTCCCTTTCCCTGTCCCCCTCCCCCCAAAAGCAATAAACCGAGAGCTTCAATGGGGAAATGGGTAATAGCCAACAGGAAGATGGGGGAGGTGGGAAGGCAGGGCCAAAAAAAGGGAACAGGAAGACGACTCCCGACAAGACGGCCGCCATCTGCTCGGACCCAAACCCAAACGAGCACTGGTGAGTTCCAAGGACCTTTACAGATAAAAACCCTAGCCTGCCAGGAAGCCCATCACCCCCGCCAACCCTCTGCTCACTCTACGCTGAACCGGGAGCACTGGCGGCCTCTAGTGGTCATGGTGCGACCTGCAGGGCTGGGGGCTGGCCGGATTTTCTTCATCTCAGGTGCTCTGGATGCACTCCAGCATCCAGCTGATGCCCCCTGGCCAACACATTCTGCCCTCGCACTGCTTAGGTGGCTCTTACGGCCGTATGCCCACGAGGACAAGGAAGAGCACACGTGTCATAACCATCTTTAATAAAAATAAATTATTTCTTGGGTGGGGACCGTTTTCGGTGGGGCAGGGGCCCCGAGTGTCTTATGCTAGCATTTCTCTTTTCCACCTTCTGTCGAGCTGCTCCTGCTCCAGGCAGGCAGGCCTTCCTCTTGTGATAAGGCAGGACAGGCAGTGGTTACCCCCAACCGCCCCCTCCTCCCCTCATTCCTAACTAGTTAGGGAGGCAACAGAGAGGAGAGTCAGAGGGTGGCTGGGAAGAGGTGTGGTCTGAACAGAAGTGAGGCTTAGGGCACCAGGCTGGAGCAGAGGGGGAACCGGTTGAGAAAGAACTGCAAGCTTGCCTTCCGCTCAGCCTAGCCGGGTCTCAGGAGATGGCGCCTTCGTGATCTGCGCCACTAGGCTTTGAGGAGTGATATACATATGAGCGCACACACACCCACGCAAAGCCCAGAAACATGCCAGGGCAGACACGCACACCGCCAGCACACCACACACACCCAAGCCTGGGTCTTGACCGTCCTTGTCCCTGGAGGACATCTCTGGTGAGACTTGGGCAGGTCGGAGAGCCAGGGCGTTACAGAGTGGGTGGCACGAGAAAACCAGGAGGACAGTTGCCTCCCAGACCCTTTTCAGGCAGGCTCCAGCGGGGGCCGCTCCAGGAGATGGGCGCAAGAACGGCAGCAGGTGGCTGTGTAATACGGGTAGACGCAGAGCCGGGCCTGCACCACCAGGGGGCAGTGTGGAGAGCTGTCCTTACACTGATCATCTGGGGACAGAGGCCCAAGACCACTCAGATCCAGCGGCCTGGGGGGTGTCTATCGCCCCCCCACCTGGTCCCTGCTCTCCCACCGCGTTTCAGTTCTTGAGGGGAGAGGGGCCTCTTTACCGGGGCGTTGGTTACAGGGCTGGCTGTTGCAAGATCGTTTCCTGGAGGGTCGCAGATGAGGAGGACATCTGGCGCTGAGGGTTTGATTGGCGCTTAGGCACTGGACCTCCCTTGTCTGCGTGCCCCCCTGGCAGGAACGGGAACACTGGGGAAGACCCCAGCTATGCAGTCAGACTTTTGCCGCGTCCTGGGGGGGGTCCCTCCTGCACCCCTCGTCTCTCTGGGAGGTGGTGGGGGGGGTCCTACCCTAGGAGCTAAGGACATCCCAGATGGACAGGCCGTGCTTGTGCTCCACGCCTGTGGGGACTGGAGCATGCTGAAACCCAGCCGGATTATCCCAGGGCACAGACAGGCATGGGGTGCGGTGAGAGGAGCCTTATGAGCCACGCACTCACCGGGCCCCAGGGTGTAGAAAACCATCGGTCCTGGCAGGCCGGTCCCTGGCAGGGCTGCAGGGTGGGGGGCTTGGGCAGGTGCGAGCAGTCGCCAGGAGAAGTCACGTTGAACTCAGTGCCCAGTTTGGATACACAGATGACATTCCGATGCTGCGTGCCCGAGCCACACTCCGAGGAGCACTGACGGTGAGTCAAGGGACAACAGGGCTCACCCCCAGGTCACCCCCCCCCCGCCCCCCCCCCCCCCCCCCAGGCAGGCAGGTCAGCTCACCTCGGTCCAGGGCCCTGTGTACCAACGCTGCATCCTCTCACAGGGCCCCATGCTGCAGGCACGCATGTCAGCAGGGCGACTGCCCGGACAGCTCTGCCCACTGTTCTGGGCTCCTGCTTCCTCCTGACCAGCCTTGAGGGTGTCCCCGCTGCCCAGGCAGACCACGGAACGCCGCTGGATCCCCGTACCGCACTCAGCGGAGCACTGTCGGGGAGCAGAGCGCATGTGTGCAGCCTATGTGAAGGGCACCCACCTGCGAGCGGAAGGGAGTCGGGGAGGAAGGGGCAGGGCCTGGGGTCCCAATCACAGGGTTCACGTGTGCCGGGGGGATGCCAGGCGATGGCTGAGCACACAGGGTGGGAGTGTGCTTATTGAGCTGTGCTGGATGCCCTAGGGCACAAGGCTGGGGGAAGGGCAGTAGTGGCCCACCTTGGGGCTCCAGTCGCTGTGGAACCAGGCCGTGGTACAGGGCCCCATGTCACAGGCCTCTCTGCTGGGCGGCTTGGGCTGCCCTGAGGCGCACTCCCGCTCGCTCACTGCATCACCGTTGCTTCCAACACAGCGGACCTGCCGGCTTCTATGGCCTCGCCCACATCGCACGGAGCACTGAACCAAGGAAAAGGCCGTCAGCCCCACACTCCCCCCCCCCCCCCCAGTGCACCTGAGCCTGCCCTCCGCTGTCCCGCCTGAGACTACATGCACCCAACCCCCACTTCAGTTTCTTATCTGACTGCTATATTGGGGCATGAAATCTTGTTTATGGAAAGCTTCTGCTGATGGGAAAAAAAAAGGTTGAAAAAAAAAAACACCACTGCTCTGATTCATGGACACCTTAGGAGAGCTGGTCTTGCCCCTGGCCCACTCACCTGGCTCCAGGGGGAGCTGACCTCCCAGTGGCCACAGAGGCGCAGCTGACAAGGCTGGGTGGTGTTGGGCCGGGGGAGGTGCCCGCAGCGCTCCGGGGACACAGAGGAGCCGCCCCCTCCAAACTCCTGACGGCAGTGCAGCTGGCGGTGCTGGGTGCCCGGGCCACAGGAGCGGCTGCAGGATGTCCACTCGCCAGCCTCCCAGCTGCAAGTGGGGCAAAGGTGGAGGGGGGGATGGGACAGTTGGGGGGGGCGGGGTATGCACTTGGCGTCTGGGTCCCTCGTGGGGGCCCTGGCTGCCTGTGGACTGCCACGCCCTCTAACCTCACCCTGCAGCCAGGAGCACAGGGTGCAGATAAGGTCCCGGACAGCCAGGGTGTCGCCCAGGGAGGGTGGAGGAACATCTGCTTACCCCATCCCTCCCCATGGGCCATACTCACTATGGAGGGCAGGGGGGGCCGTGGCAAGGTTCCAGGGAGGCCGGGGGTTTGGCCCCCACGGCACAGCTGTGCTCTTCTAATGCCTCTCCTGACTCACGAGAGACACAGAGGAAAATAGGGCGCCAGCTACCTGGGGGACCAGACGAGAGGACAAGATGGGGGAGGGGACAGCCTCAGTCAAGGCCCATCCCTGCCTGTGGTTGGGCCCTCTGCCAGGGAGGGGCTGTCGGGAGAGAGGGGTGCAGCCTCACCTTTCCCACAGGATGCAGAACACTCTGAGTAGCCCACTCGCTTCCAGTACCCGGCTGAAGACCCCACAGACGTCCGGTGCTGTGGTGGGCCAGACACCTGGGGGATCCGCACCTGCCGCTGCCTGGTGCCCGGCATCCGGGCCGCACGGGGCGCCACAGCAGCTGGAGGCTCCCGCCTGGGCATCTCTGGGCAGAAGGGAGGTCAGGCCAGGTCACCGGCATCCCCTTGGCCTCTCCCTCCTCTTCCCACCTGCCTGGAGCCCAGTGTCTTACCAGCCCAGAGCTGGTGATTGGCAGGCTCTGAGGTGGGGCTCTCGATGGTGGGAGGGGGTGATGAGATGACATACTGGTAAGCAACGCCTGGGTTTTCCTCCTGGAAGATCATCTGGGGAGAAGGGTGGAGGTGGGAGTTGGGCGTAGCGGGAGGGTCAGCGCAAGCCACCCCCACACCTGTCATGCCCACAGGTTCACCCTTAACCAGAGCGGCCCCACCTCCCAGCTTGCCCCCACCCAGGCTCACGTAGACATCCACAGGCTCTGTGGTGGGGCCCGCAGCCCACAGACTCTCGCCCTTGCCCTCCTCCCGTGGGGGGCGGCTGTAGTGGAAGACGGTCCCCCCAGCTGGGTAGGAGCCAGGGGGGTCCACGGCCCAGTTCCCGTTGATGATGGAGCGGCCGCCGGGGCCCCGGAGTGCTAGAAGGGGGAGATGAGGGGATTTGAGTGTAGTCACCCTTGCTTTCTCTCACCACTCGCTCTGACTCCCACCCATGCCAGCTCCTGCCCGGCAGATTGCAGGAGGCCAGGCCACAGCAGGGACTAGGCAAGGGTGGGGGCATAGGCGGGATGGAGGTGGAGAGCCAGGGTGCTCACCAAGGTAGTTTGCGCTTGGCCGGAGTTGAGCAATGTGGAGCCGGAAAGCGCCCGCGGGAATCCACAGGATCTTCTGATAGCCCAGGGGACCGCCTCGCTCGGTGAGGTTCCCCGAAACGAAACGACAGGTGGAATCGTCACCCCCGCACACCCCACAGCCATCTGGACGCCTGCCAGAGCCAAGGATCCCATCACAGCCGGGGCTCTGGGGAGAGTGAGGTAAGGCAGGGGCCACAGGAAAGCCACACACCCCTCACAGCCCACCCGGGGGTCTCCGTCCCACTCATTGCGAGAGGAGAGGAATATGGTGGCGTCACCCTCCCACCAGCCAGGCCTAGGGAACTGTCACTCCGGCACTTGGCCTCTTGGTGCCCCGCGGGCCAGCCTGGCAGGTGAGAGGGTCCCCCTTGGCCACTGTGTGTGTGCATGCTCTTACCAGACAGCGCCCCGCCACGCAGATGTCTGGGGCTCCCGGCTGACACAGGGTCCCATCCTGGACCTTCTCCGTGTGACGGACGTAGAAGCGGAAGCCACGGGGACGGCAGTTCAGCTCACAGCGCTGGGAGCCCTGAACTGTGGAGGCAGAAGGGTCGTCAGTGGCGTCTCATCAGGAGGGTCCCCAGGGCCCCAACAGAAGTTTTGCTGAGGACAAAGCTGCTGGGAGAATGGAAGTGAAGAGATCTGTGGGGGTGCGAAACATTTTCAAATCCACACGTAGGCGGGATCCTCACAGAGTTCAGGGTGGAGGGAGTTGTGGCACAGCAAATAAAGCTGCCGTCTGAGGTACCAACATCCCATGCGGGCTCTGTGTCCCTGGCTGCTCCACTTCCTTTCCAGCTCCCTGGTAACGCACTAGGAAAGCAGTGGAAGATGGCCCAGTGCTTGGGTCCTCTGCCAGTCACATGGGAGAGCTGGATGGAGTGCCAGGCTCTTGGCTTCAGTCTGGCCCAGCCCCAACCATTGTGGCTCTTTGGGGGAGTGAACCAGCAGATGAGAAAATCTCCCTTTCTCTGTAATTCTTTCCAAAAAGTAAATAAATCTTCAAGGAAAAAACAAGTTCATGAGAAATGTGCATTTGGAAAAAAAACATGCATGAAGTTTAGAATCTCTGTCCCAAAGTAATCATCTTTGGATTTCATTTTCCCACTAACTAGCTCTTTGGAGTCTGCCCATGTCAGCTCCAGCGTGCCCTGAGGCTGCCCGGCTCCTTGGCTCAGTGCCCAGATCACCAAGGTCACTGAGGTCACGGAGGCCATCAAGGAATGATCCTGAAACCTGTGGGTGTGTGGCCAGCAGACATGCACATACAAGCAAGGGACAAGACAAGGTGACACCGGGGTTCCTTGCACACCCCAGCCGGGGGCACAAGCTCCCGTGTCATGTCCACCTTGTTCATCCTGGAAAAGGCCAAGTACACCTCTTTGCCCGCTCCCTCCCCCAGCCCCTGCTGACCCTCCTTCACCAACTGACAGCTCAAGCACCTGGCAGGAAGCCCCACCCCTTTCCAGTCCCAGACTAAATCTCCTGGTCTCAGACCTGGGGAGTGAGAAAGAAGGGATGAGCCAGAGGAGTGGGAGTTAGGATGCAGATCTCCCAGAGCTGTGGGTGGGTGAATATTCTGCCCATCCCATCACTCGCAACCCCAGGTGCCTTCCCCTAGCCCTTGCCAAGCACTCACCTTGGGTGAAGGGCTCCCACTCATACAGCTGGCCCATGAACTCCTGGGAGTCGAAAGCTGCGCACTGCAGGGCCCGGGGATCTGGCTGCTCCGGGGGACAGGGCTGAGGGTGGGGGCAAAGTGGTCAGAGCCTTGAGGGGCAAAGGAGGTGGTCTACAGGGGAGTACCAAGGCACCTTCGCAGAGCCTGTGTCCAGCACGCAGAGTACCCTGGGGAGCTGGGGTGAGGGTGGCAGGCACTTACCGCCTGGCTGCAGGCTCTCAGCTGCTCCGTCTCCCCAGAGCACCACGGGACGGGGTTGCTGGGGGCAAAGAGGCTCCAGAGGGGGCTGTCCGGAGGGCTGTCACTCAGCAGGGGCAGCCAGGTGCCTGGCTCCATGGGAGACCCTTGCAGGCTGCCCCGAGGGAAAGACTCCGGGTGTCTCCCTGCTCCCCGGGGACGGGGACCGGCCCAGCCCTGGATACTCGGCATCCATGGCTGGGGGGAAAGAGGTGAGGGGCTCCTCTGCCCCAAGAGGGTGGATGAGAGGGACTCTGTGCGGGGGGCAGCCCTGGCCCTGGACCCCTCAGTGTTTGCTAGGAGGGCAGAGGTGCGGGCTGGCAGCTCCGTGGGTGGGACCGTGGTGGGTAGCTCAGCATGAGGAGACAGGGCTGATGGCAGGGGTGCCCCTGGCACCCCAGAAGCAGCAGCCCGGGGTGGCCGCTGGGGGTGTCTGCGGTGGCGATGCAGCGGCAAGGCAAATGGCACCCTCCCGTAGCCGAACATTCCAGGCTTGATGGGCTCTCGGACCCGAGATCTGCGGAGGTGTGGCAACTATGAGTCAGCAAGGTGAGTCACGGACAGTGCGGTCTGCACCGGCTCCAGCTCCGGCTCCCCAGACTACTTCCTGATCCACAAGTCATGTGTGGACGTGGCCTTTGCTCCCCTTCCCTCCACGACAGCGGCAAGCCTGGCCCCTTGGGGGCCCCAGCCCACCCCTACCCCTACCCTCCCAGCCTCACCTCCTAGCCCCTGCCATCTCCTGGGTCTCCTCTCTGCCCAGCTGGGCGGCAGGGCCTCGAAGGGGGCCGCCTCTTCCCCGAGGTGGAGGCCTGTATAGAGGGTGGGTTTCTCCAGAGACCTGGGGTCTGGGACCCTGGCCAGCCCGGGGCAGGAGGGCTTCGGGGTGTCGCGGGGGCCGGGGAGGGAGGGCCAGGTCCTGGCGGAGCTGGCACGTGCGGCTCCTGCGCTGCACCCCGGCTCCGCAGGGCTGGGAACAAGAGGACCAGTGGTTCCAAGGACCCCATGACCCCTCGGGCCCCTGGGCCTCATCTGGGGGCATTTGTGCTGAATGTCCAGATGGCACCTAGAGGGAGAGAGACAGAAAGATCACAGAGGACAGGGTGACTTCAGAGGGCCACCCAGGAGTCTCAGTGGCTTAAGGTCATGGTCAGTGACGAGGCAATACCAGAACCCAGGCCCTCTTGACCTCAGTGGATGTGGGGGTGGCCAGGGGAGACCGGGTGGGAGTGAGGGGGCCAGGAGGATGCTAGGCAGGCCACTGGGGCTGCTCCGTCAGGCAGAGCTCACCTCCTGATCCAGGCAGGGATGGGGAAGAGCCAGAAGCAGCAGACACAACCAGGACCTGCAGACCCAAGGCGGGAGGGGCTGTCATTCCTGGCAGGGGCTCCCCACAGCCCGCCCCCCAAGGGCTCAGGAAGCAGAAGTGACTCCTCGCTTCCGCCCCCTCTTGCCCAATGATTTCCCCTCCCTCACAAAGCCAGTTCTCCCTCCCCCTCCTCTTACCAGCCTGCCCACTTCATCTCTCAGCCCTCGACTGAGAGCAGGGGCCTGGAGGGGGCTCTACTCAGACATCAGGGCGCCGGGGGGGGGGGGGGGACGCGGGTTGCTGTCTGCAGAAACACAAGCCCAGCCATCACCACCAACACCCACCTTCATGGTGTGGAGGGTCTGGCTGCAGGGCGGGGGCCTGACCTCAGCCTCCCCTCCCACTCTCCCTTGGCCCTGCAGGAACTTTTCAGCCCCTCCCTGAGTCCCCTCTAGGGGCTGTTTGGAGGCCAGTAACTTGGGATGCTTACCATCTGGCCCCTCTCCCCTGCCCATACATACAGAGGCACCTGCAAAGCTGAGACTCAGACCCCATCCGCCCGAGCCCACGACACTGGGGCCTTCGTGAGAGGATCCCTTTCCCAGCCACCTCTGCTTGCTACCGGCCTCCCAGCTTCGTCTTCCCTCCTCGACTAAGCTCCTTATGGAGCAGTTGGGCACAGCCCTGCCGCCTCAGACGCTTCTGGGCCAAGGGATAAACTAAGTGGGTTGGTGGTTTAATCATCATAAAGCAGAAGCAGGTGACTTAACCTCCCCTCTGGGGGCTGCCGTCCATCCACCCTAAAGGCCTCCTTTCCACAGCGCTGCACTGGCTAGGGAGACCTAGCAAAGGAGAGATGGCAGCCACCATTGCCCTTGTTGCTCTCCCATCCCCAGCCCCCCAACTCCTGGCAGGCTTTGGGAAGTTCACCCTGAAGTCTAGCTTGCCCTCTGAGCTTGACACTCCCCACCCTTCAGACTTGCAGCCCTTCCCGCCCCCACTCCTAATCCTGCTCTTAGCTCTGCTTTCCAGGAAAAAAAAAACCAAAAACGTGTTTCTGTTGGATCCAAAAGGCACCCGGGAAAAGGTTCCAAGGAGCCACTTGTGAGGTGGGCCAGCTCCGGGGCAGGAGAACAGCGGTGGGAAGGGGGTACACTCTGGGGCCCCCTTGTCCTCCCTGAGACCTGCAGCGGGCAGGCTCGCTCTGCTGCCCAGAGCTGGGAAGGGGCTGCTGATGGCCGGACTGACCACTGAGGTCAGCAGCTCCGCCCTGCTGAGAGCCCATGTTCTACCCAAACCTTCAGCCTGTTGACCCTTGATTGGATGCATGCCGACCACCACGCCATGGGCTGCCTTCTCCCTGCGGGGTCCCCCTCCGTGTCTGCTTCACCCCTGCTCCACTCCATGGGTCTACCCAGGACACATAATCCCAGCCCAAGCTGGGTTTGGCTTTGGCAGCTCCCTGGAGAAGTGAGGGGTGGGGGGGCGGTGACGCGAGCGCCAAGGGCCACCCGCCAGGCCTGGCTCCCTCTCTGGAAAAGTCCCACCCTGCCCTCCCCTGCCCTGCAGCTGGGCAGGGGGCCGATCCCCCCCCCCCCAAAACAGACACACATTTGTGCTTCCACCCTGTCCATGCCCTTCTCCTGGTGTATTTGGGTGAGGACAGGAGAGGGCAGAGGTGGTCACTTCGGTGCCAGGCTGGATCCTGACCTGGAAAAATCTGGGCTCCTGCTGGCCACATCTCTCCACGTTGGACAGTGAAGGTCCCGGCATGGGACCTGCAGGGCTAACCCCTTTACATTGCTGGACTCACCTCTGGGAAACAGGTCATTGCAGTGGGAGTGGATGGGGCTGGGCAGTCTGCTTCAGCAGCGGCGGGGGCGGGGGGGGGTGCAGTCTCTATCCTGGGCTTGAATCCCTTGTTCCCACCCTCTCCTCTGTCCTGGAACCAGGGGGCGTCGGGAGGAGGGAGCAGAGCCATCGCAACAGGTGTATCTTTTGCCACCGGCTGCGCCTGCTGTTATCAGGGCCCCACCCACCAGCATCCCTCCCAGGAACCCTACCCCAAGCTGCAAGAGTGAGGGGGAATCAGCGGGACGCGTCCCCCGAGAGCAGCAAGGACAGGCGCAGGGAGGTCTTGGGTATGTTTTCCAACTGCACTATGTGACTTAGTAGGAATTTTGGCTCATTCCCCGAGAGGGTGGTGGGGCCAGAATTCCACCAGATCAGACCCCCTCCCCAGGAATCCGACCCCAGGGAACTAGAAGAGCTTCCGAGACCTTCTGAACCGGCGCCGGGCCGGGGTCGCGGCGGGGGGCGCGACGGCGCGGAGCAAGGGGCTGGGGCGCTGCGGGCTTGGCGCGCGGGCCGGGTGCTCTAACGGGACCGGTGGGCAGGGGACGGCCGGGGCCGCGGGCTCAGGGACGGTCTCTACCTGCTCAGCGCGCCCCCGGAGGCACGGTGACCCTTCTGCGCCCTGGCGCTCCCTCGGGGCAGCCTGGCTCGGCGGCGGCCACTCCAGCCCCGGAGCCGGGCGCGGGACACTGCCGCCTCGGGCCGCGGCTCCGCCCCGCGCCGCCCCGCCCCGCCGGCGCCCCGCCCCGTGCCCGCCACGCGCCCGGGCCCGCGGGGCCGGGGTGGGGACGGCCGACCCCACGGCCTCGGCGCGTGCGCCCCGGGCGCGACCCTGGAGCTGCGGCGGCCGCCCCTCCGGCACCCCGACGGCTCTAGGCGGCGGCTGGTCCCGCGCGGCGTCCCTGTGCCCTCCTGGGGCTGGCAGAGCAGGGGCACCTGGAGGGGCGCTCAGGACGCAGGTGACGCCGGGACCGGAGCGACTGGGGCGAGGAAGCAGCAGCTCTGCTGGCTCCCAGGTCCGCAGTCACCCGTGCCTTTCCGCTCTTGGGCAGCGAACCGGCGGCTGTGGTTGCTTGGGACCTCCGGAAGCCTCCGGTTCTTCCACCGACTTGTATACACGCGGCGTAGCGGGAGGAGCGCGCGTCGACCGATCAGAGACCGATCGGAGACCGACTTGGTCTGGAGTGTCAGTGTCCGCACCTGCCGGCTCCTTGGGCGCCTCCACCTGCTTACGGCAGATGCCTCGTGGGTAATCGAGGCCTGGCGGGCGTATGTGACAGGCCTAGAGGTGGCTGTGTGTCCCCGCGCATCTCGCGTTTTTACAACACAGCAGCTGTGACGACCCTGGGGAAGAGCAGCGAGTTTTCACAGTTCATGCTCTGTGTGTCGTTTGGATCGCTGAGGCGTCATCCCTGTGTTATGTTAGAAAAAAATCACTGATGTAAAATGACTTCCAGGGTGTGATGATAAATGGTCACTAGTATCAAAAAAAGTTTAAAAAACTTTTATTTGCTACTCATGAACTGCATTTTAATTTTTAAAAATATTTTTACTGAAAAGAAAGATTTTACAGAGAGGAGAAACAGAGAAATAGTCTTCCCTTCGGGTCATTCCCCAAATGACTGCAGCAGCCAGAGCTGAGCAGATTCCAAACCAGGAACTAGGTCTCCCACGCGGGTGCAGGGTCCCAAGGCTTTGGGCCGTCCGACTGCCTTCCCAGGCCACAAGCAGGGAGCTGGAAGGGAAGTGGAGCAGCTGGGACGTGAGCAGGTGTCTCTGTGGGATGCTGACACTGCGGGGGCCCTGCTCTGTCTTTGCAGTTGCTTCAGTGGGGCTGGTGTGGGGACATATGAGGTGAAGCTGCTGCCTCCAACGCATCCCATATGGGCACCAGTTTCTGTTCTGGCTGCTCTAATGCCATTCTATCTCCCTGTTAATCGCCAGAGTGTCTGGACCCCCAATGCCCTTTTGAGAGACCCAGATGAAGCTCCTGCCTTCTGGCTTCCGCTTGGCCCAGCCCTGACCACTGCCGCCTTCTCCAGCGGAATGAGCAGGTAGAAGAACCTTTTCTCTTCCCCCTCTCAGTAACTCTGACCTTCAGATCATAAATCCATGTTTTTAAGAAGGCAAGCTGATCTGAGAGTGTGTGTATTCTCTTCCACTGAATCATTCTCTATATGTTAGCAACCGATGGTGCTGGGACTGGGTGGGAGCCAGGACCTGGGGACTCTGTCTAGCAGTCTGAGCTGGGCCTTGGGGATCCAACTATGTGAACATCCCCTGCTGTTTCCCAGGGTCCACATGAGTCAGCAGCAGGAACAGGAATTGAACCCAGGCCCTCTGATGTGAGATGCAAGCTTCCTATTTGGATCTTTGCTGGGCCAAACACCTCCTGCACCCTGGCGTGTTAAAGCTGCTTTAGGGGGGTGGTGGGGGGAGAAGGGCTGGCACAATAGACTAAGTTGCCACCTGCTATGTGGGCATTCCTTGTGAGTGCTGTCCCAGTCTGGGTTGCTCTATTTCCAATCCAGCTCCCTGCTGATGAGCCTGCGAAGGCAGCAGATACTGGCTCGAATGCTTGGGGGCTCTGCGACCCACAGATAGATCAAGGTGCAGTTCCAGGCTCCTAGCTTCAGCCTGGCCCAGCCCTGGCCATTGCAGCCATTTGGAGAGTCAACCAGCAGATGGAAGATCTTGCTCTCTCTGTCTCTATCCCACTCTCTCTGTAACTGTGCTTTTCAAATAAGTAATTTTTAAAAAGAAAATGTGGAGCCCAGTGTAGTAGCCCAATGGTTAAAGTCCTTACCTTGCACACGCTGGGGCCTCATATGGCCTCCAAGGCCCCACTTCCCATCTAGCTTCCTGCTTGTGGCCTGGGAAAGTAGTAGAGGACGGTCCAAAGCCTTGCACCCATGTAAGAGACCTGGAAGAAGCTTCTGGCTCCTGGCTTAGGATCAGCTCAGCTCCAGCCATTGCAGCCGCTTGGGGAGTGAATCAGCAGACAGAAGATCTTTGCCGTCTTCTCTGTATATCTACCTTTCCAATAAAAGTGAATAAATCTTAAAAAAAAAAAAAAAAAGAAAATGTTTCTGAACCAATACATTTTATAAAAGTTCCATCAAAAAGAGAGACCACAAAAGTATCGGCTCTCACAAAAATTGTCCTTCATCCCCACAAAATCCCAGATGCTTTTGGTGTTCCCACGTAACATTCCTTAGGCCACCTTTGCACCTGGTGTTGAGGGCACACAGAGAGGACAGTCACTGACCTCAAGAGTTGGTCTAGCTGGGACTGGGCATCACAGGGAACGCGCCCACTGGCTGCGCAGCCGAAGTCATCTCAAAGATGTTGGATGTGAAAAGACAGAGTGAGTGTAAATATAAGAACTGTGTCCTCAGCATCAGCTGGCAGAAGCTGGCACTGGGGGCTAGTTCTGTCAAGTCAAACCACAGAACTATCTGGAGAGTGCATAATCTGGAGTGGGAGAGGCCTGGGAGGGAAATAGTGGGCTCATTCCTCTTGGGTTACCACTTCCACAGGAGGGCAGCGGCTGGGGCGGAATGGGGTGTGGGACAGACTGGATTACTGCTACACATACTGGCAAACCATAGGGGGCGGGCCTGGCGGGGGTTATTGTGGGTCGCTCCAACTAGGTTGCAGCTCCCACTTGTTTATGTGAGGGCTGAGTTTGTGCTGGGCAGTACCAGGCTGTACTGCAACACACATTGGTTCCAGTGGAAGTCAGGACTGAAAACAGAACCAACCCAGCGATCGCAACCACCAGCTGATCAGGGTGATGGACCATGCCAGGCCCTGTACTTGCTAGCACATACAAGAATCTGATTTGAGAACACCTCAGACAAAGTTTCTTTGGAGATCTCCCCATCAAAATGCTGGACTCAGAACCCTAACCAAGAAAAGAGAGAAGACAGAACAGGTCAACCAATCAACTCAGCTATATGTTAGCAGTGCAATACGGGGCAAATGGAGACTCTGTGATGGACTAAGTCAATCAGTGGATTCTTCAAAGACCTCATAGTGCCTGGAGTGTCAAGATTGGCAGCGATTCATAACTGTTGAAATATCAAAACCACTTGAGCAAGAACCTCAGAGCATACCCTACATCCGGGACCTGGGGAGGGTGGGAAATTGGGTGGGCTTTCCCTTAATATCCACCTTTAAACATGAAGGAAACAATATGGAAAAAATAATAGTCATACCCACTAAAAAAAAAAAAAAAAAAAAAAAAGAAAGAAAGAAAGAACTGTGTCCTTGGGGCCGGTGCAATGGCCTAGCAGGGTCATGCCACTGCCTGCAATGCAGCATCCCCTAGGGTACCGGTTTGAGTCCCAGCTGCTCCACTTCCAATTGAACTCACTGCCAGTACGTCTGGGAAAGCAGTGGAGGATGGCCCGAGTGCTTGGGCCTCTCCTGCCTGCAGGAGACCTGGAAGAAGCTCCTGGCTTCTGGCGTTGGCCTGGTGAGATCTCCTTGTTGTAGCCATTTGGGGAGTGAAGCAGCAGATGGAAGACCTCGCTCTCTTCCTCCCTCCTTCACTCCTTCTCTGGAAGTGCCTTTCAAATAAATGAATAGAACTTTAAACAAATAAACAAAAAATAAGAAAGCTATGTCCTTACCTGAAGTTTAACACATGTAATTTTTTTTAAAGATTTATTTTTATTATTTTTTTATTGGAAAGGTGGATATACAGAGAGGAGAGACAGAGAGAAAGATCTTCCGTCCGATGATTCACTCCCCAAGTGAGCGCAACGGGCCGATACTATGCCAATCCGAAGCCAGGAGCCTCTTCCGGGTCTCCCACACGGGTGCAGGGTCCCAAAGCTTTGGGCCGTCCTGGACTGCTTTCCCAAGCCACAGGCAGGGAGCTGGATGGGAAGCGGGGCTGCCGGGATTAGAACTGGTGCCCATATGGGATCCCTGGCGTGCAAGGCGAGGACCTTTAACCACTTGCACCACCGCGCCGGGCCCCAACACATGTAATTTTTTAAAGACATATTTGTCTATTTGAAGGGCAGAATTACAGAGAGCAAGAGACATCTTCCACCCACTAATCACTCCCCTGGTGATTGCAGGAGCCAGGAACTTCATCCAGGTCTCCCACGTGATGGAGCAGCTGGGAGTCACAATGGCATCTGTCTGGGAGGCTGATGTAGGTGGCAGCTTTGCCGACTATGCCACATCCCTGGCCTCTGTCATTTGTTTTCTAATAAATCTCCACTTCTTCTGGGACAAGAGTCATTTATTCTTCCCTTTGTCATAAGTGTGTTTCTGTTTCCTGCATGTGTATTTTATGATTTGGGTTTGTAGGGTCACAGAAAGTGTATTAACTGAAATGTCGGGGAGCAGGTGGTGGAGTCCTGGGTCCCCAGGCCTGCCCTCTTGGCTTTCACAACCAAACTCCCAAGTCCAGGCAGACAGGAAAACTGGCAGAGGACTTCTGTGGCCCCTGTTGCTTTGTGGGGTGCGGTGTTTTTGTTCTTCAAAGAAAAGTTGTGAAGTACCCTGATGTAAGGGACCAGCC